CGTCTGGGCGGCCATAGTCAACGCCCTCGTCGACGACGGAAAGCTGGAGATGGGGCTGAGCGTGCTGGTGATGTGGAGCACGTACTGCCGCCCTGGGAGCCTGCTGGCGATGAGGCCCGAGGACCTCGCGCGCCCGAACTCCGCGCGCGGCCGCTGGGGAGTCGCCCTGAATCCGTTCGAGGGGGGACTTCCCAACAAGGTGAACGAGTTCGACCAGAGCTGCCTGCTGGATCAGTTTCTGGAAGCCGCTGCATGGGCTCCTGGAGACGCTGCAGCAACGGTCTCCTGGGAGCCCGCTGTGGCGTTTCAGCTACCCCCAGCTGGCGCGGGCCTTCAAGGCTGCAGTCGGCCGCCTGAGGATCGACGCGGTCCCCTATCAGGCCCGCCACTCAGGAGCTACTCACGACAGAATGAAGGGGCTCCGAGATATGGCCGCGATCAGGCGGCGCGGGGGCTGGAAGACCGACAAGAGTTTGCAGCGCTACGAGAAGCATGCGCTGCTCAGCAAGACGTGGGAGCAGCGCGCCGAGGAGTTCAGAGCGCACGCGAAGCTGTGCGAGGAGCGTCTCGCGGCCGTGCTCTCGGAGGCCAAGGCCGCGCCCGTTTCCCTGCCGATCCTTCGAGACACAGTTCTTGGTTAGCCGCGCGGGGTCCCCACTGTCACGATATCGGAAGGTCGGCCAGCCATGCTGGTTTCGAAGTGAGATGCTTGCACCCTGCCTCGCGTGGGTTTTTGGTGAACACGCTGGTGTCAGATATCCTTCGTGGGCGCGTGCCAGGTGTGGTCGCCGAAAGCGGGTGGCATCCTGCCGCCTTGGATCACTTTTTTCTGACTTTGCGAGTGTTCAGTAGAATGGCCGTTTTCATTGGGTTACGTCTGAAACTAGGCGTCTCCCGAGAGTTCGTGAGCGGTGTGATTTCAGTGTTGACAATACGTTAGGTGCCTTCGGCAGTAAGTACCGCCTGCCTTTGGAGTTCCTGTGCTCGGGGATCTCGTCTCGGGACTGCTCTGGGCTCCGATGCCAGTCTCGGGTGTCTCGGGGCTTATCGTGCTTCTTGCATTTTTTCAGAATTTTTTGATCCCCCGAGCCCTGTGCCGAAAGGTGACGGCAACTGTCCTAGCTCCCATTCGCTCGCTGTACCTAGGTGTGTGAACTGGCCCACGCCGGCTTTGGGACAGATTTGGGATAGTTGAAGGTTTTAACGCTTTCGAGCTCCGAGGTTCGAGATCTCGTGGGCTCGAGTTTGTTTCCGTGGCGCTTGCCTGGCGTCGCTGTGAACTCCAAGGTATTGTTACACGGATCATTAGCCGTTAGAAAGACAATGTTATCGTCATGTGTCTTCCTCGCGCAGGGCGCGGCCCACGTGGCAGGGCATTTGGCCGTGCCCTTCGGCGCCGTCGCGTCCGTGCGCGCGCGGGAAAGCGTGCGCGTTCGTCTCGCGCCTCGCGCGCTGCTTCGCGTTCATCCCATTGCTTCGGTTTGTCGACGACCTTTTCGGCGCCCAGCGCGCTGCGCGCGCGCGCTCGCGTGCGTCGCGCGTCTCGCGCGTTGCATTATCTGGCCTTTTGCCGCAGCTGAGCACGATGTCGCCGCGGGCATGCCGCCCATTGTCCTTGGCCTTCAGGCCCGCGCGGGCCGCGATGGCTGCTCGCGCGCGCCGTCGCCCGACAATATTAAGACATGGCGCGGTCGCATCAGCGACCCGCTCTCTTCGGGCGAGCCGGGGCCACAGGGGCGCGGCAAAATTGGCGGGCGCTCTGATGCGGGCCTGCTCGGGCATTTTCCAGCGCATCGGGCGCGCGCTCATTCGGCCCTTGTTCGCCCGCTCGAAGAAGAGCGGCGCGCGACAGGCGCGACCGCCGCGCGTCGCGCTTGAATGGCGGGCCGAGGCCCCGCTGCTGGAGCCCTGAGAGACCCGCGCTCGGGCGCAGAATCAGCGCGAGCCAGCCCAGCTTTTTGTGGGCGCGCGAAGCACGCCGCCCCGCGGCGCACGAGCGTTCTTCCTCGATGGCGGGCCGTCTATCCCGTCTGGGGCCCGCCTGAGCGCGTGCCGCGCCATTTTAGATAGAGGGGCGACGCGCTGATTATGTCACTTGCGCTGCTGGCCATCGTTTTTGGTCTGTCCGTTTTTACCGGCGCGCTTGAGGGCGGGCGCGCGCGGCCTTGGTCCGATAACGCACGGGCCGAGACTGCCGCGCGGAAAGGTGCCTCGAAAGAGTGGGATTATACGTATCATTGATGCTTTGTGGCTGCAAGCAGCGCACATGCGCGTCGCGCCCCGCGTGGTTTCGAGAGGCGATCGGCGCCTCCCATGTTCAGTCCCGTCTAGGTGATCCTTCCTGGGAACCCGCCGCCCCGGCGCCCCCGTCGGCGTCGCGCGCTTCGCTGCGTCGCGCGCGGGCGCGCTTCGGCCGACAGGTCGGCTCGCGCGCCGATTGCCGTGCAATGCTATTGTTATTCGGGGCGCGGCTTCAAATTCGCGCTAGACGCGGCTGCATCGCGCGCGCGCTGCCGAGATCTTCGTCGGCGCGACTGCCCTGTCAGCCGACGGGTCGACTCGCGCAACGCTTGCCGTCGGCGCCTCCTCGATCTTCGCGGCGCGGCTCTAAGTTCGCGCTCCGCGCGGTTGCATTGCGCGCGCGCGCCGTCCAGTCCGGCGTCGGCGAGTCAGCTCGTCGCGGGTCGCGCTTTCGCGGCAATGTCAGGACGCGCCGAAACATCGGGCGCTGTCTGGGCGAGGGCCGCTGGCAAGGGGGGGCGCTGCGCTGCTCGGTTCGAATGAATTTCGGCGGTGCTCAGTGCCGAGAGCGCTCGGTGCCCATCCGCACTTGTCGATGCCGAGTTCAGAGATTTCCGATTTCATGGAGTCAGGTTAGACGGCGGCAAGAAGCGTTGCATTCGCGAGGCCGTTGCGCTGGAGACGCGCGAGCAGGCTCATGCAGCGCCAGTCGTGCGCCCGCGCGCGCGCGGGGGGAAGCTCGCAATGCGCGGCTCGGCGCGGCGCCGGCGCTGGCCGCCGCGGACTTCGCCGGCGCCGAGTTCCCGACGGAAAGAATCGCCGATGCACGGGATACCTGCGCGCCGCGGCGCAGCGGGGGCCCTCGCGCGGCGCTTCGCGGCCACTGTCGGCGGCTCGACAACCAAGACGGCCCAGTGAGCGCGGCCGAACGGCTGTCAAAGGCACGCGCAGCAGTCCTCCTCGGCGCATGCCCGCGGTCCATCGCTTCTTTGAAGAGCGGCGTGCCGGCGTGGTTCGCGTTCGCGCGGGAGGCGCTAGCGTTGCGCGGCCGCGAGTTGCTTCCGTCTGCCGGTGGGCTTCTCGTTTGGTCGCTGCTCTCTGGCTCCGACCAGACGTTTTCGAATTGCTTCGCGCGCATAAGGCTGGCGCGTCAGATCTGCGGCCCCCCGCGGGCGTGTTTCGCGTCGCGCCCCTTCGCCGCGCCAGGCGCGCGATTCGTGAACGCGGCGTCTTCTTGCCCGGCGCGCTCTTGTTCGTCCGGGGAGCAAGTGCCAGTCAAAACAACGTTGAATCTTGCGCGCGCGCGCGTGGTTCGAATCCGCCGCCTACGCGCTGTTTCCTTTAGTTCCATACGTTTTGTCGTTGCGTCTCCCCTCCGAGGCCTTGGGCATTTTGCAGCGGGGTCGCCCTCCGCCATGGCGCGAGGGCCTCTCTCATTTTGCGCCCCGGCCATCAACGATTTCAAATTGGCGCGGGGTAAGAATGAACGTGCTGGGTCAGCGTTTCAAAGGGCGCGCTGGTGCGCTCGCTGAGCCCTGGCCTGCCCGGCCCGCGCGCTCGGCGCCCGGCTTGCAGATTCGCCCGATGGCACCGCGCCGTTCGCGAGCATCAGCGCGCCGAGCGTCCCGCGCCGCATTCAGCCGGCTCGGCGTCGAAGGCGCGGCGCTCCACCGCGCTCGCGAGATGGGTCGCGGCCGCGCCTTGGAGTTCCAGCAACGGGCCCCTTGCGCGAGATCTCGCGGGCGGGCGAACGGTCCTCGCCCGCGTTCGCGTCGCGCCTCGACTTGGCGCAAGGGGCGTTGAACGCTGCAGTAGAAGAGCGCTCGGCCGAATCCGAAGGCGCGCCCGACTCCTGGCGCTCACTGGCGCTGGCGACCCGGGCGCCGTGCGTTGCTCCCCCTCGGCTGTGGCCATCGCTGCGCGCGCGTCATCGCGGCGTCGCCGCGCGTGCCGCTCAGTTTCGCGAGGCGCGCGGCCTCCGCGAGCGTCGCCGCCACGCGGCGCGCCAGCTGCATCAGCCAGGGGCGCTTGCATCCCAGGCGCCCCGCGCGTCGGCGCACTCTGGCCCCGCCAGGCCGCGCGGCGCGCCGGGCGCCGCGCCCCTTGTCAGAGGGCTGCGGGCACCTGCTGGTGCGGGAGGTTTGCGGCGCAGCTGGAATTTGCGATCGGCGCGCAAAGTGGCCGAGAGTTAACGTTCACGCTTGCGCACCCAAGTGCTTTTGCGCGCGCGGGCGTGTGAATTCTTGCATATCTGGCGCCTCGCGCGTCGCTGCAGTCTGGTCCGGCCAGGCTGTGCGGCGCGCTGGATGCCGCGCCCGTTGTCGAAGGGTTGCGGGCACCTGCGGGTGCGGTAGGTTTGTGGTGCAGCGGGAGTTTGTGTGTTATGTGTGCGATTATGATGTTTTGGGGGGCGCACGCATGCAAGCATCCAGTTTTCACGGCCGGCCGCGGGAATCCGCCGAACACCGCTGGAAGACCGCCGGGAGACCGCCGAAGACCGCCCGAGGCAGCTGGGGAACAATCGTTGGTGGCCTATGAATCATAGGCCACCTATGATCGGTACGTCGTGCTTGGGGCGTGGTTGCCCAGGTTCAGGAGGGGAAAAAACACACAGACACAATTAATCGTCGATCCCCCAGAAAATATGGGAAAATATGGGCATTGGGCGGGAAGGCAAAAACCCAAAACATAGGGGAAAACATGGGGATTATTATTTCATTTGTGTGTATGTATTTGTGTGTCCTGGGGCCCCTTCACAGGTGGGCGCCTTCGACCCGGGCCACGCGGCCGCCGCGCCGCTGCTGGCGGAGCTGGCGCGCCTCGTGGCGCTCGGGGCCGCGGAGGAAGGCCGCGACTTCGCCTGGGCGCCGCCCGCCGACCCGGGGGCCTCCGAAGGCTTGGCCTCGCGGTTGGCCGGGCTGGGCTTCGGCTCGGTGGAGGAGTACCTCGTCGGCTGCGCGCGGGGAGCGGCCCTCCTCGCCGATGCTCGGCTGATGGGCACAATATTCAGAGCCCCGAATCATCAGGGGTAACTCGGGTCAGGGCTAACTCGGGTTCCTTTTTCGGGATTCCGAACCCGAGTTACCCCAGACCCGAGTTACCCCGGATATTTCGGGCGTCCAGAGCCCCGAATCATCAGGGGTAACTCGGGTCAGGGCTAAACTCGGGTTCCTTTTTCGGGAATCCAAACCGGAGTTACCCCGGACCCGAGTTACCCCGGATAACTCGGGCGCCCAAAATATGCTGCATCACCCGCGCGAGGGGGGTGCCGGCGCAGATTTCCACGGGCCCCCGAGTCAATGTTGGTGGGCGCAGCCAACGGGGCGCAGGGCTTCGGCCAGTCGACTGATCGACGGATCGCGGCGCGGGCTTCGGCTCTGTGGGGTCCCTCGTCGGCTGCACGCGGCGGGTGGCCCTCCCTCGGCAGCACCTCACGGGAGCCTTGCGCGTCCTCGGAACGCCGTCCTCAAAGTGCATCAGCGTGCGCTGGCTTCTTGTAGTCGATGAGAAGGCGCCGATTTAGCATCGGGCAGCATCGATCTAATGTCGATTCGCGTCGTATGACGTCGGTTACGTTCGGTTCGCAAGAGCCAGCAACGGGCTTGCATCATTAGTTATGTTACCACAAAAGCCCTCCTCGCCGAAGTTCCCTGAGATCTGCGCGAGATTTTTGTCATACTGGGCGTTTTCGCCCGGTCTCGGTGGGGCCATCACGGAGCCATCCAGCTCGGGAAATCTGTAGAAAGATGGGGTCTATAAGGCTCTGGTCGTGATTCATTGGCTGGCGCCGCACCGCCGACCCCTTGGGGCGGCAGTAAGAGTGAAAAACGGAGTTTGCGGAACGATTTCTGGAGAATCTTTGGGTTTCAGCTTCTTGGGATTTCGTCGGGGGCGGTTGGCGGATCGCCGCTCTGCTCTTGGACTTTTTGGGGCTCTCCTGGCAGCACTTTCGAGGCCTCCTGGGAGCCGTTTTGAGGCCTCTAGGAATTTCTTTTGGGCCTCTCGGGGGCCTCGTGGGAGTCTCGTGGGAGCCTCTTGGGGGCTTATTGGCGCCTCCTCAGGTTTTTCGGGGCCGAGTGCTCGAAATGTTCACTCGGGTTCCCCCTCTGGGCCTCCTCTTGGGGCCGTCCTGGGGCCCTGCTGGGTCGTTTTGGAAGCTTCTGGGGCTGTCTTGGGGCCCTCTGGGGCCGTCTTGGAGCCCTCTTAGGGGCCTCATGGGCTATCTTGGGTCGATCTCAAAGGCTTCTTGGGCCGTTGTAGGCCTCGTTAAAGCCCAAGGGGCGAATGTGCTAAAAATATACGTTTTCCCTGGGAACGTGACGATTTTTGCTTCTGGAGGGTCGCCTCTTGGTGGCTTCTTGGGGCGTCTTGGGGGCCTCTGGGAATGTCTGGAGGCGATCTTGAGCGTCTTGGAGCGATCTTTCGGCGACTCGTAGCCCTCGTGGACCGTCCGGGGGGCCTTTTGGGGCCCTCTTGGCCCGTTTTGGAGCCCCCTGAGGCTCCAAGGGTGCGCGATGTGTTTTTGTTCCGCAATGTTGGATCTCAGGGTAACCGTCTTGACTCCAGATCCGGCCTATTTGGGGCGATTTCGCAAGTAGAGCGGTAATTTCCGCCCTGCCTTGCCAGCTCTTTTGAGGTCGGTTTCCGCTTTGCTGTTGCGGAAGTATCTGCCCTACCTTTCTGAGGGCGAAGTCTTTTTTTCTCTACCGCATCTTAAATTGCAAGTCTGAAAATCAACTAAATTACGGCGGATTTGGAGTGAGTGTATCTTCGCCGAAGTTCTTGGATGCCAGGTGTTGCTAGAAGTGCCCCTGGCCTAAGGTGCCCCAGGATTTCCAAGAAGGCCCCCACGGCTTGCAGAGCATCCCTCACGAGGCCCAGGGGGCCCCAGGGGGCTGCATGGAGCGACAAGTGGGGGGCATCTTAGGCCAGGGGCACTCCTGGCAACACCCGGTGATGTCCAGGCGTTGGCCCTTTCGCGCTGGGCGTTTCTGCCCAGTCTCGGGCCCCGGGGCCATCACGGATAGGTCTGGCTCGGAACAGGCCGCAGAAAGATCGGGCCTATGGCTCGAGTCGCATGGTTTCGTGAGGTTGCATCTTGTTTCGCAGCGTCGGATCTCAGGAGGTATTCACCCCGTTGCTTGTCTTGGAGAGCCCTCGGCGTCTCGGCCGGATTCTCATCCTCGATTTTTTGTGGTCGGCACGCCCTCGGGAGTCCTGGGGGGGGCGTGGCGGCATCGGCCTGGCATCTGCATCTGATCCTGTTCCCTCAAGAGTGGCGCTTGGTGCTCGGCAGTGCGGTGCGCGTGGGAGGGAGGGGCGCCGCCCTGATTTTGGATCCGCCGTATTGTGGTTGCTCGTCCGACTCAAGATTGTCCACTGTATTGGAAGTGCGCCTCAAGTTGTGCGAACAAATTGGGCGGAAATGTCCGCGTCAGAAAAGTAGGGCGGCTACGTCCGCAAGAACATGGCGGAAACAGCGACGGCAAAGTAGGGCGGGAATCGGCATCAAAGGAGCCGGGAGAGTAGACCTGGCATTTTCGCCCCACGTGCGAGACCGCCTAAGTAGAGCGGATGTCAGGGCGGGCCCGAGCGCGCGGGGGTGCTACGCTCGGTATCGTTCAACCTGTCCCCATCCCCACCAGGCCATGGCATCTCATCCCCGCCATCCCGCCACCCCAGTTGGGGATGGGCCCCTCGAGACCCGACGGGAACAGCCGACCTCCCCATCTGTGGGAGGACGAATCGGCCAGTGGAGCCCAGGTCGCGCCAGTTGGAATAGGGATCGTTGCAGCGATGCCCCTACCCCGGGGGGCCACTCCCGGCGCGCCGCCGAGCCCTCGCCAGTGGAGCCCAGGTCGCGCCAGTGGGAATAGGGATCGTTGCAGCGATGCCCCTACCCCGGGGGGCCGCTCCCGGCGCGCCGCCGAGCCCTCTCGGAGCGGGCCGCCGCCGGCATCCCCAACGAGGTCTTCGCGCGCCGGGGCCGCCGGCTCGAGCTCGACAGCGGCTTCCTGGCCACGCCCGAGGGGCGGCCGCTGCTGGACCTGGTGGCGCGGCTGCGGCCCGTGCTGGCCCAGGACCGGAACAGGAGGGCGGAGGAGGAGGGAGAGGAAGAGGAGGAGGAGGAGGAGGAGGAGGAGGAGGAGGAGGAGGAGGAGGAGGAGGAGGAGGAGGGGGAGGAGGAAGCGGCGCCGGTGCGCTCGGAGGAGGCGAACCCAGACGTGTTTGCGTCGTGGGCAAGGATCACGACGGGAGGCTTCTGGTATGTTTCGGCCTCTGGGGGCCCTCGCCAGGCCTCGGGGCCATCAGAAACGACTCGGGGCGAGAAACCGGGAGGGGGGGTCAGGGCTTCCTGGGACCGCGTACTGAAACAGTCAAGGCATCGCATGTTTGGGAAGGTACCGATGCCGCTGCTCGTTCTGGAGAGCCGTAGTCGCCACGGCTGAATTCTCTTCGAAATTCTGGTCAGAACGCATCCCTGGAGAGGTCCCAGTGAGCAGCGGAATGAGCACCTTTTTGTCCCCCAGATGCCGTTGCCTTTCTTGCCTTTCCCTTTCCTCAGGCTGGCAGGCATAGGACGAGGATAAATCGCTCCAGAGCGGCCCAGAACGCTCTCAAAGCGTTCCGGATCTTCCAGAGACGTCCGCGGCGCCCGACAATCGTCCCGATCCGCTGACTCAGAGAAATCCCGATTTGTCCTCGTCCGTTTTTGTTGCCCTGTCGCCACGGCTGGATTCGCTTCGAACTGGCATCACCCCAACACGTTCGTCATACCATGTTTAAGTCGGGCGTGTCCCTCTACAGGGGGAATATTCAAAAATATTTTAAAGAATAGTCTGGGGACGATTTTGGTTTCCATTTTGGAGCATTTTGAGGGTATTTCTGGGGTATTTCTCTTTCGCCCAACACCTCCCTGTCGGGGGACACGCCCGACTTCTACCGTGTGCGCGTCGGTCGCGCGCAGAAACCTTACAGTCTGTGCTCGGTGGCGGGCGCTCTCTGGTCGCGCCGCCAGAGCAATGGTGCAGTGCAGTCGGCCCGCAGAGGAAGGACAGGCATCCCTCCCAAGGGTACCCTCGCATCCTTGCCTCCTCGGTCCATCCTACAAAAAGTGGCATAAACATAACAACTCGGAGGTCCGCGCGGATTTCTCGGACCCGCGCTGGACCCCCCTGGCGGCGCGTCCGGCGCCGCCCCTGGCGCGCTCCGCGCGCCAGGGAGGGGGTCCAGCGCCGATCCGAGAAATCCGCGCGGACCTCCGAGTTGTTATGTCAATGTCACTTTTTGTTCCCCTAATCCTTGCACACTTTCGTTGGCCGCGCCCCGCTCGAAACGCTTCGAAATGTGCGGCCAAGGGCCTTGCATCCTTATCGCGCATCCTTACTCTGCGTGTTGACTGTACGTTTGTGCTGTGCGTTCGGTTCGCACGTGCGGCTCCAAGGGGGGGCGCATGGTGCTATCATGTCCTTCTGCGTCCCATTCCCTCGCCGCCACGGCTGGATTCGCTTCGAAGCCCTGGCCAGAGAGCGCGCCCCTCGAGAGGTCCGGGGAGCAGCGGCGCATCGGTATATTTGTGCTGCTCTCCCAATATCGGAGGCCTGGAGGTTGGCACCAACACCAGCATCGGCGGTGCGCCTCCACTGGAGAAGGACGATCCCGATCTCGGTGATGGTGGTAATGCTCGGGCTTCCTAGGCGGCCGAACACACTACCACCATCGCCAAAATCTAGGATCATCTGATCCTGGCCGAGACAAACCCCTGTGTTGGTGATGGTGCCCATGTCCAAGCCTCCAACGCTATGGCGGCGAAATCCGAGCCCTACCCTCGCCCTTCAACGATTCAGGCGACTCGACGGGCGGCGAGGGCAGTGTTCGGAATCCGTCGAACACGTGGCGACATCCGAACCCTACCCCCGCCTCCCATCGATTCAGGAGAATCGACTGTTGGTGGGGTTGGGGTTTTCCGGATGCCGCCACACCTACGTAGCAATATGCCGAGGACCCCCTGAGGCATCCCTTCGACGCCGGGGTCCGCTGCCTCGGCTGGCGCATGGAGACCGGCGTGTTCTCGCCGGAGGACCGCCGCCGCCTCCTGAGCGCACCCGCGCCGGGCCAGGGCTTCGGCGGCGGCTGGCCGAGGGGGCGTTGCGTCATGGGGGGGGGGCGATGATGATGGGGGGGGCGAACCCTGACCTTCCAGAAAGCTATTTTTTAGCACTGGAAACCCAAAAACCTAAAAAACGGGACGAAACAGCCTAAAACCAAGACGTAAAATAGCTCTGGGATAGGTTTTTACGTCGGGGTGCTATTTTTTAGCCCTCCTGGAAGGTCAGGGAAGACAGGGCCACTCGAGGGGCCCGACAGGGGCACGAGCGGTGCACGGTTCTTCGCCCCTCCCGCCCTGACCCGCCCCCCCCCCCATCGAGCAACGCCCCCCAGGCCGGAGGGGAAGTACCCGCGCCTGACGGGCGGCTACCAGGCCGCGGGCATCCCCGGCCTCTACTTCGCCGGGGCGCTGGCACACGGCCGAGACTTCCGGCGGTCGGCGGGGGGGTTCATCCCGCGGGGCCTCGGGGGCCAGGGCATCTCAGGGGCAACGTCAGGGGGGGGTGTCCCCTGACCTTCCAGAAAGCTATTTTTTAGCACTGGAAACCTAAAAACCAAAAATACGAGACGAAACAGCCTAAAACCAAGACGTAAAATAGCTCTGGGATAGGTTTTTACGTCGGGTGCTATTTTTTAGCCCTCCTGGAAGGTCAGGGTCGTCGGTCTTCGGCGGAGCGCGGCGGGTTTCCAGCCTCGGGCTGCTCTCCAGCAGCTGCGCCTCGCCGAGAGCGTTCCAGGGCTGCCCGGGTCGTCCTCGTTTGCCGTCGGAGAACCGAGTCACGACCCGGAAACCGACATGGCAACGCTAATAAACGGAGATAGGCTCAGGGTGGAATTCATGGACCCGCAATCGTCCATTCTACGTCGACAGGAGCTTGGTAGCCCACGCGCCCAAGAACGCGCGGTGTAGCTACCAGGGGCTATCGGCGATATATCGCCGATTCAAGCTTGATGTCTCCCCCCCGACCCCTGAGCTGGTCCCACCTACCGTTCCCCCTCCCAGCGTTGGAAGCGATGTCCTCTCTGCAAGATGTAGCGTGTGGGGCGAAGGAATAGAAAATGCTCCAGTCGGCTGCAGCTCTCCTGGATGTGCCGAGGTCCTGGCTTGCCAAAGTTCGTAATTAGCAGGGCAAGTCGAGACACCAGCAGCTCAAGATCGATCCCTGGACCCCTCCCGGGGTTCAAGCGCACCAGTTTTCCGAGCTGCGTCCAGCTGTGGCGACGAGGCCCCCCCCCAAAGGCCAACTACCCTTTTCTCAGCTCCTTTGAAATAAAGAAAACTGCATTAAGCATAAACTTTCGACGGTCCGCGCGGATTTCTTGGATCTGCGTTGGGCACCCCTGGCGGCGCCTCCAGCGCCGTCCCTGGCGCGTGCGCCATGGAAGGGGGTCCAGCGCAGACCCAAGAAGTCTGCGCGGACCGTCGAAAGTGTTGGCGCCTCCCTTTTTCTTCCTCTCTGTCCCAGCCTGCGGGGCCCCGAGCGTCCACGGATTCCGCTACACCTCCCGGGCCCTGCACCGGATCCTCCGCAGGTTGGGGGGCGCCCACGAGGGGGCGGCGCGAGGGAGGTGGGGCTTCGCAGGAGGCGGCGGAAGCCTGCAGGATGCAGGGGCCTTCTCGGAAGGCCCTGGCGGCAGGAAGCCACGACGATGTACGCCCCTAGATTTCCGAGGCGTCCAAGGCCCCCTCGTGCTCCACGAGGGGTGCAGAAGCGAGGGCCGCCAGATGCCCTGGAGCTCCTGGAGCGCCTCCGGAGCCAAGCGTGCCGTGACAGCGCGCTCTCGTCCCGCAGGAGGGCCCCCTCCACGGATGCCGCCGGGCCCTCGGACTCGCCGAAGGCCCCGCCTCCTGGGAAGCCCACAGAGGCCCTGGGATTCTCAGAAGGCCCCGCAGAAGGCCTCCTCCGCAGAGGTCGCCAGGCCCTCGGACTCTCCGAAGGCCCATGCCTCCTGGGAAGCCCACGCGCCCCCCTCGCGCCCCCCCCCTGGGCGCCGCCGAGCAGGGAGGGCGGCCTCGGCTGGCCGAACGCCTCCTTCGCGCTGCGCGAGCGCACGGGCTGCGGCCGCCTGGCGGCGGCCGTGCTGCGGCGCGTCAACGAGGCGGCCGGGCCCTACCAGATGTTCGGCGAGCTCGCCGACGTGGTGCGCTTCGCCGCGGGCCCGGGGCGGGGGCTGACGGCCGAGTACCTCGAGGACGGGGGGTCGGGGGCGGCAACGAGGGGGGTGACGACTAGGGGGGGGTGGACATCATGGCGTGGGCCATGGTGTTTCCCCAGGTTTCAGGGCGCCTGCCGCTGATTTCATTACGTCCCTGGCCCCCCCGCATGGCCGCGCACATGCCGCCCGTCATGATTTGCACCCCCCTCTCTTGGACACCCCCCTCTTGGCCGCTCCCGAGGGGGGGGGGGCGTCGACCGACCACCTCCCGAAGAGGAGAAGGAGGCACCAGAGCCGCGGCTGGATGGCCTCGAGAGTCTTGTCAGAAGGCACCCCGGGAGAGATCCGGGGAGCAGCTGCCACCCCACGACCACCACGCCGATCCTGGCCAGGCCCATCCTGGGCCCAGGACCGGGGTGCGCTTTCCCGGAAGGGGCTGACCACGGCGGCACGCGTGATCCCCGGGCCCAGGATCGGCCCGGGACAGGGTCGGCTGAGGCCCCTGAGGTCCGATTCGCGAAAAAGTGGCAGCGTCGCGAATACATCACGACCGGAGCCCCATAGACCCTGGCATCGCTCGGACGTGTGCGTTTTTTCCTCGGCGAGGACCATCTAGGAGCATCCTTGACAATTTGGCGAAAAAACCACGCACGAAACCGACAAAAACACAAAAAAATGACGTCCGAGCGATGGCGAGAGACCCCATCTCCTGCGCCAGTTCTCTCGAGCCGCAGCGGTGCTTGCCGGCCCCGGGGCCCGAGGCCGGGCGAAAGCGCCCGGTGTTCCTTGTGCTTTCACCTGCTGGGTCTGCCCTTTGCCCCTTCCTTCCTCTGCGCCTCACACGCTGCCGTGCCCATCGCTGCTGCGGACCTCACACCAGCCTCCTCGACTGCGGGACGGGCAGAGTGTGTTTCTGCGCCTGTTTTTTCGAGCCGGGTCGATGTTGGCTGGCCCCCAGGCCCGAGACCGAGCGGAAACTTCTTCGCTCGCGGCCGCGAGGCAAGGGTCAGGCGGCGAAAGCGACCGAGCGGAGACGCCCGGCGCGAAAACAGGGCAGTGCCTGGATCTCAGGGCGAGGCGGTCGGCCGGCCGCGCGCCCCTGCGCGAGAGGAGGTGCCCCTGGCCCACCTCCGCGAGGACCCCTCGCTCGGGGCCGCCCCTCACCTCGTGCTGCGGTTCTGGGGGGGGGGATGCATGACGAACCGGATGACGCCAAAGTCCGCACGGAGTAAGTCCGCGCGAAGTGTTCGGCTTCCGTCTGTGCTTGCTCCGTCCGGATTTGGCCTCTCGTGGTGAAAAGTGGACCGATGGTGCTACTCCCCAGACCTCTCCTTTGGGCTCCTTTGGGCGCTTTCTTGCCATGGACTCGAGGCGAATCCAGCCGTGGCGACGAGGGCCTCTCAGGAGGCCCCAACGGGCGAAAACGATGGAAGGGCAGCGGCACCGGTACAGCTCCCTGTTCTGAGGTTCACCTACGGCCGGCAGTTCGGGCCCGCGGACTTGCCCCAGCCAGGCGCGGTCGGCGCCGAGTTCGCGGAGCTCTCCGCGTTCCTGCACCCGCGCCTGGAGCTCTTCCCGCGCGCGGGGGCGCGGCCGGTCCTTGCCCACGCGCTGGCGGAGGACGTCTACACCGAGTGGGCGTCGGACGTCGAGGGAAGAAACATGATGGCCACGACCAAGATGTCGCGGGACTTTGTCGACGCCAGTCCTAGTCATGGTTCAGGCGGGCCGTCGCGGAGTCGCGAGGCGACGGTGACCAAGATGGATAGTGACCGAGATCGACACCGACGTTTGTGCGCTCTGTCTTGGTCATGGCTGCCGTAGGAAACGGTACCGATACTGCTGCCCTTGCCTCGTTTTCGCCTTTGCTGGGCCTCTTGGGAGGCCCTCGTCGCCACGGCTGGATTCGCCTCGAGATCCTGGTCAGAACGCACCCCGGGAGCGGCCCGTGGAGTAGCGACTCCAGATCCGCCCTACTTCGGGCGACTTTGCAAGTAGGGCGGAAATTGCCGCGCTATGTTTCGAGCTCCTTTGATATCGCTTTCCGCCTTACTTCGCCGTCGCTGTTTCCGCCATCTTCTTCTGGAAATGGCCGCCCTGATTTCTGGAGCCGGGGAATCAGCGAAAGGGTCGGCGGATTTGGAGTCAGGGCAGCGGTGCCCGTTGGTTCCTCCAGGACGTGGGCCACGTGGACCCGCTGCGCCGCTTCCTGGCGCTCGCCGTCGGGCAAGCTGCCGGGCTGCTGGGGCTGCCCCCCGACGGCGCGGCGCAGTGCGGCGTGCTCGCGGGCGCTGTCGCGGGCGCAGCGGGGCGCGGCGCGGCGCGGCACGAGGGGCAAAAGTCATGAGCCGTCAGCTAGCACGCGTACAGTGCGATCCCGAGAGCATCTCGGGCCTCCCGCGGGATGCAGGATCTGTTTTTGGGATCGAGACTGGCGATAGCCTGGGTCGTCGGGCCCGCCCGCCCCCGTCCCCCCCCGATAACCCGATTGCGTCGGGTGTGCAGTTCCGAAGGGGGTGTACAGAGCTGGTGCGTGCGGGCATGCGTGGGACTGTCCAGAGCGAAAAGGTCATTATATATACATATATATACATATATATATATATATATATATATATATATATATATATATATATACGGCCGGCACCTCCCTCCCCCCCATTGAATAACCCAGGTTATCGCCGAAAAAGTAAAAACAATCCCAGTTCGGCATGAGCGAACTGGGTACGCAAAGAAATGGGCACGAAGGCGGATAGCAGCTCTTGCTCATTGTGATCGACACTCGTTGTAGGTGTCGCCGTGAACGTTGTCCACTTGAGACAGGAGGCCGCTTATAGAGCCATCAGCGGCCGCTGTCAGTTTTGGACGACGTTTGTCGTTCGGCATCGTGCCCGTTTTTTCCATATCCGTCTC